TTCCCTCCTCTATTGAAATAATCCTTCAGTTTCAAGGAAATGGTCATGCACAATAATTATGAAGATTCATGCAATTTAGTACCAGTAGATTTTGTCATCTATAAGAGCCACTTTTCACATATTACTTCATAAAACTCTATAATGAGCCACTACTGTTAGAACCCAATTCTTGAATTTTTAAGTTAAGAAAAAAAGAGGGCCTGAGGTACCTGACACATGGCCCTGTCAGGACCTGAGTGCCAGGGTTAACGTTCCGCCTCCACCACTTTATGCCTTGGGAGTCAAGACAACCCTGTATTCACTTTCCACAATTTCCTACGGTGAAATGGGAAGGCATTAAGAGTGTGCCTGTGCCATAGGAATGTTCCAGAAAATACAGGAGCTGACAGAAGCCGAGAGGTTGACAAGATGTGAACAAAGGTCACATGGGCTGAGTTAAACAATATCACTTCTGACCTTCCTTCTCAGTGACTCCAGTCCTCCTGAAGCTAGTAATCTGTGGGGTTCAAGAGAGGGACTATCTTTTGGGTCCTGCCTGTGATCAGAGCCCTTCTGAGAGACACCAAACCTCCACGCCCATTAGAGTAGGTTGTTGGAATCTGGTCACATCCCAGCCTAAGGTGGGGTTAACCTTATGCAGCATCAGCAGACCAGAATGACCATTTGATATGCACCATCCCTTCCCATCCTGAGACAGCGGCCTCAAGTCTAGGGTGTATTCAAGGCTGCTGAGTTTCACAGCAGGTGCATGAGATACATTCTGACTTCTCTCAAGAGAAACTGATAAAGACAGAAGGGCAGCGAATCAGGAGCGTAGAATGGAGCAGGCACAGGTGTTCCCTTCAGCAGATGTCATAGATGCCAGCTGCACCTTGCCTTCAAAGGACTACAGAAAGTATAAACAACAGTAATAGTAAATACAAGAAATTTTCCTCTTTAAGGGATCTAAAATGACACAGACCATCTGAGCTGGTAAGGTTGTGTGAACTTAACAGAAACTAGAGTTACCTGAGAGGAGGGAACATCAATTGAAGAATTTCTTGTTTAAGGCTCACCTGCAGACACGTCTGTGAGGCATTTTCTTGTTTTTTTTAATTAGACTGATAAAGACAGAAGGGCAGCGAATCAGGAGCGTAGAATGGAGCAGGCACGGGTGTTCCCTTCAGCAGATGTCACAGATGCCAGCTGCACCTTGCCTTCAAAGGACTGTGGAAAGTATAAAGAACAGTAATAGTAAAAACAAGAAATTTTCCTCTTTAAGGGATCTAAAATGACACAGACCGTCTGAGCTGGTAAGGTTGTGTGAACTTAACAGAAACTAGAGTTACCTGAGAGGAGGGAACATCAATTAAGGAATTTCTTATTTAAGGCTCACCTGCAGACACGTCTGTGAGGCATTTTCTTGTTTTTTAATTAATGCAGGGGCCCAGACCACTGTGGGTGGTGCCATCTCTGGGCAGGTGGCCTTGGCCACATAAGAAGGGGAGCAAGCAGGGGAGGCCAGCCAGTAGCAGTGCTCCTCCATGGTTTCTGCATCCGTCCCTGCCTCCAGGCTTCTGCAATGAGCTCCTGCCGTTTCTCTTGGGATACACTGTGAGCTGTAAGGCAACTAAATCATTTCCTCTCCAAGTTGGTTTTGGTCAGTATTTTATCAAAGCAACAGGAATCAGGCCAAGACACCATCTTTCACAGACATTGATAAATATCTTCCCTGAGCAGGGCATGATCCCAGTCTACCTGAATCTCCAGGAGAGACAGGGTAGCTCCTCTGTCTGAGTCCAGTTCCTGAAATATAATCACTAGGGTTCTTCCTGTAGGCTATAATATATCCTTTGAAGAATCTTAATCACCTGAGCAGGGACTCATGTTTTCTAGTCTCTTATGTCCACTCTGATTCGGTCCAGAAGCTGTCTGAATGTAAACAGTGGTTTTGTGGTCCTTGGATATATTATTTACAATTAAGCTTCCCAAGCTCGTTGACAACAGATTCATAGTGGCACAACGCCTTACCTTCTCCTAGGACAGAATGCCTCCACACGTCTTCTAATCCCACTGGGTTAAAAATAGAAGGCAGGTAGGCTATAATATATCCTTTGAAGAATCTTAATCACCTGAGCAGGGACTCATGTTTTCTAGTCTCTTATGTCCACTCTGATTCGGTCCAGAAGCTGTCTGAATGTAAACAGTGGTTTTGTGGTCCTTGGATATATTATTTACAATTAAGCTTCCCAAGCTCATTGACAACAGCTTCATAGTGGCACAACGCCTTACCTTCTCCTAGGACAGAATGCCTCCACACATGTCTTCTAATCCCACTGGGTTAAAAATAGAAGGCAATGCTATGCCTAAACATGCTTTGCTGGACTTTGGTTTTGCTTAGGTGTGCCCAATTCTTCCCTTTGAAGTAAGATAGCACTTGTTTTGGATTTTATAAGAACCCCCAGTTAAGAGACTTTTAAAAGGCTCTGTGGACTTTTAAGTGTTTGGATTTTAAGAACTGTGGAGCTTAAGGTTGTACTGCTTTATGTTGTAATATTAATTTTACCATCATATTTTGGGGATAAAAGGATGGAAAGGTTATGTTCAATAGTGATATACTTGTGTGTCAAGTTAACAAGAGGTCAATTGTGCTAAATAGACTTAGTTGTCAACTTGACACATTTAGATAGAGAGAAACTCAGTTGGATTTCCTACATTGTATTTGCTGATGCCCATGTCTGTGAGACATTTTCTTGTTAAGTAATATGATGTAAAGTCAAATTTATTTCTGAGAGGCCAGTGCACTCTTTTGGCTTTCAGATCCATTGGAAGGCACACTGCGACCCTCTTTCCCACGCTGTCCTTACAGCCAACCAACAAAAACTACGTTGTGTGTCAAGTTGACAAGGGGTCAATTGTGCTAAATAGACTTACTTGTCAACTTGACACATTTAGATAGAGAGAAACTCACTTGAGGGATTTCCTACATTGTATTTGCTGATGCCCATGTCCGTGAGACATTTTCTTGTTAAGTAATATGACGTAAAGTCAAATTTATTTCTGAGAGGCCAGTGCACTCTTTTGGCTTTCAGACCCATTGGAAGGCACACTGCGACCCTCTTTCCCATGCTGTCCTTACAGCCAAGCAACAAAAACTACATACAGCTTAAGGGATTGTGATATTTATTTTGGCTTCCTTACAGGGCTCATGCAAAGGCATGGGCACATGTCAGCTTTTTTCCCTACATCTCAGCTGAGCTTTCCAGATCCGCAGCTGCTGGCCCGCTGGCCCGCTGGCACAAGACAGGGAAGCACCACCTCCTCCCTGGCTTCTTCCTCATCTCTCCTTGGACCCTTCCCTTCGTGTAATTGAAGCTGACCGATTGGATCGGAGGGGTGACTGTCTCCCCCCCCCTTTCTGTGGAGTCCCTTAGGGTTCAGACATCCAGTTGTTGCTAGCTCTTTTGGAGGACAGGCCTATCCAACGTATGGGAAGGCCCAGTCCACTGTGTGTGGTGCCACCCTGGGCAGGTGGTTCTGTATTGTATAAGAAAACAGGCTGATCATGGCCCAGGGGAGAGAGACAGTAAGCAGCGTTCCTCCGTGGTCTCTGCTCCATCTCTTGCCTCCATGTTCCTGCCCTGACTTCCTGCCCTGACTTCCCTCGATGATGAACTGTAACCTGGGAGATAGAAGAGAAAACAAATCCTTTCTCCCCAAGTTGATTTTTGTCAGTATTTTTATCACAGCAATAGAAATTAACTGAGTGATGTTTTTTTTTAACATGTGTTCTTCATAACCTTAAATTTTTTTTTTAATTTTTTAAAATGATTTATTTAATAACAACATACTTAGAAGAAGCATATCATTACAACACAATTGACATATTCAATAACGTTTTCCTGAGGTAGGATGCATCTCTTTCAAATTTGGCTGTAAATTTTTAGGTTTACAGTTGAATTATTACAGTTATACAATATTGTACTCAGTATAAACCCTATAAGACATAAATTAAATGATGTTTTAACCTTTAAAAAGTGTCTTTTGTCAGTATTTTTATCACAGCAATAGAAATTAACTGAGTGATGTTTTTTTTTAACATGTGTTCTTCATAACCTTAAATTTTTTTTTTAATTTTTTAAAATGATTTATTTAATAACAACATACTTAGAAGAAGCATATCATTACAACACAATTGACATATTCAATAACGTTTTCCTGAGGTAGGATGCATCTCTTTCAAATTTGGCTGTAAATTTTTAGGTTTACAGTTGAATTATTACAGTTATACAATATTGTACTCAGTATAAACCCTATAAGACATAAATTAAATGATGTTTTAACCTTTAAAAAGTGTTGAGTGATGTTTTTATAACCAATTTATATAGATTCTAAAAGCAAGGAAAACATAAAACAGTCTCCTTTCAAGTATATTCTGCACGCCTCAGTCGTCACGTTCACCTCTATCCAAGAGTGGCACATAGAAGCCAAAGTCTGCATTAATTAGAAGCACAGCCACTCACCCTGGGATGAGTCCAGCAGGACTGGCACCTGAATGTCTGTATTTCCTGCCTCATTGTAAGACACTATCTTTCCACCACAGTACTGAAGCACTACTGTCCTGCTCTGAAAATGCTGTCATTCAGGCATCAAACACCAGGGCTCACTATATACCAGGGAGATATGCAAATATGCTCTCTTTACGCTCTTGAAAACCAGTCCAGACCTGACCCTGCAGCTCTGGCAAAAGATCACAGCCCTGGATACTCAGGTGTTCCCATTCGATGGTAAACGCTGAACACAGACTCACCATGGACTTGGGGCTGAGCTGGGTTTTCCTTGTTGTGCTTTTCAAAGGTAATTTATGGAGAACAAGAGAGGCTGATCCTGTGAGTGGACAGGAGTGAGAAGGACAGTGGACATGTGTGACAGTTTCTTGACCAGGTTTCTCTGTTTGCAGGTGTCCAGGGTGAGGTGAAGCTGGTGGAGTCCGGAGGAGATTTGGTGAAGCCCGGAGGATCGCTGAGACTCTCCTGTGCAGCCTCTGGATTCACCTTCAGTGATTACTACATGTATTGGTTCCGCCAGGCTCCAGAAAAGGCACCAGAGTGGGTTGCTGTTGTTAGAAATAAAGATAAGGGCTACACAACAGAGTACAGTGCATCTGTGAAAGGCAGATTCACCATCTCAAGAGATGACTCCAAAAGTACGGCCTATCTGCAAATGAACAGCCTGAGAGTTGAGGACACAGCCAGATATTACTGTGGAGAAACACAGTGATGTTACTTCAGTGTGAGCCCATATGAAAACCTCCTTGCAGTGCTGCTTGGAATGGAGTGAACACAGGAAGTTTGGGGCCCTTGGGACACAAGGTGCCCTGAACCAGTAAACCAGCTTTCAAAACCAACAGGCGAGCTCAGGACCAGCATGGAGCACACAAGAAAAACACTGGCTGCTCTATGCTAGTGTCCATGGTTAACTCCAGAAACAGGTACAGGGGGAGGTTCAGATATGGTTCCCTTTTAAGGTCTGGGAATTCCTCTCCATAAAGTGGTTTACCTGGGAGACACCAGGTCATCAGGAATGTGGCACCAGCATCTCACCAGCTCCTGGCTTCCTAATGAAACTGGCTGTGCTTTGACCACTCCTTAAATCAATGTGTTTCAAGAGAAGATGTACCTCACAGTGCGAAGATCGACCAGGGGCCATCCTCAGTCTCTCCCCAAGTAAATGAAAAGGGTGCCTCACATGCAAATTAACATTCAGGATCTATACTTAAATTACCCTCTTTCCCAGGGGAGATCACAAATGTTAGCTCACATACTGTCACCTCTGGGGACACCTGATATTTATTCTAGAAAATGAGGCTGTTGAGTTTTCTCCTGTGCCTGGTTACAGCACCCGATGTCTGGGATCATACATGATGAGCACATGGGAAAGTTATGACTTCAGTTGATGGACAGGTATGATTATATTTCCCAGGTGTGCTGTCTGTTTCAGTTACAGCTAAGGGAGTCGGGACCTTCCTTGGTGAAGCCCTCACAGTCACTGTCCTCCACCTGCACTGTGCCTGGATTCTCTATGACAACTAGCAGTTCCTGTTGTCACTGAAACCAACAAACAACAAAGAAGGGCCTGGAGTGGACATGTTACATTTTTGCTGGTTGTAGAACTAGCTGTAACCCATCCCTCAAAGTTCCTATCTTCATAGACATATCCAAGAACAAGGTCTCCATGCAGCTGTTCTCTTTGACCGCGGAAGACACAGCTGTGTGTTACCGTGCAAGAGACAATGAGGGGACTTCAATGGGAGCCCAGCCACAAAACTCTCTGCAGGGTCATTAAGGACCAACAGGGTTTCAAAGGATGCTATGAGCACAAGATCACCTGCAGGGACAGACACAGAGGCACCTAGAGATGAGGAGACCTTATCTTCAGATGTTTCTGCCATCTGTTTGGGGTTGTTATATAACCCTAGACAGCTCTGGTTACATTTAGAGAGACACGAAATAAAACAAGTCAGGTGCAAACAACTCGGAACCTGTCGGGAGAAGAAGAGGGCTGACGAGGGTAGGACAGAGACACGGAAAGAGACAGTCATAAGAATCCATGATAGAGCTGGGCCTGGTACCCAGACCTGCAACCCCAGCACTGGGGAAGCAAACAAAGGCAGATTTCTGTGAGACTAAGGCCAGTCTGGTCTACATAGTGAGTTCCAAGCCAGCTGGGGCTACAGAGAGGCCCTGTCTCAAAAAATACATTATATGCATGCATGAATTTGTCAAAGAACAAATTTAAGCAATAAAAAGTTGTGTGATAATAAAATCACACTTTTCCTGCCTTTTTATGATAGACCTACAGACTCTTCTCCATTATTTTGAAATACATGGTCTGTGTCTGTGTTCCACAGTCGCCTTCCTGAACTACAGGCTACCAGGACGACCTCCCCCTGTTCCTACCCATTATCCCTTTACTTTAGCCTCATCTCTCACCATCCCCATTTCTAGTGAATTCTATTCAACTCTCTGCTACTGAGAGATTGACATACTTAGTTTCCTCAGAT